GGTCTATCGATGCGCTCGCTATCAATCCGTGTTTGATAAAAGGTTTTACCAGAATATCTAAATTTGGATCCAAAACGAGGCAAAAATAGTTTCTGTTTTGGTGGCGGTTCCGGTGACATCAGTCTGTAAACAAATACAACACATTTCTGTTAATTACACTAATCTCGTTGTAAAGCATATCTAATGTATACCTGAAGAAGGTGTGGTGTTCGACACATGTCTTCCAGAGCCGTTTGGCTGCCTTATGATTGGCCAGTTTGAAGCCGATTGTGCTCTCGTACTGCTCGAACTCTCCCGGCCTTATCTTAATGTAGAAATTGTTTCGTTTGTAAGAAATCTTGAGAATCTTAGGCCACGCGAAACGGTTAATGCGAAGCCTATCCCTGTATACGAGTAGACCCGACGCGCAGACGCCCATCATTATGTCGACACCGGCCGAGTCCTTGGCCTGGTGTAAGTCCACGCCATACATCGCTAACTTTCTCGCGTTTTCCAAATACTGAATCTCAGACTCGGCCGATGTCTGACCTCTATGTTGTTTATGAAGTTCACACACTTTCTCTTCCAACTCATGCGTCTGATTGGGTGCGAAACGGAATTCCGATAAGTAATTAGATCCGTGCTCTTCGGGCTCGAAGTCTCCCAATTCTGATTGAGCCAAATATGAGCCCAACATTGCGTGCGTCACGAAAGAACAGGGAAGACGACCCGAGAGGATGTCATTCCGGATTTGTAGACATAATAGATATCTAAACATCAAACCAAACGATTAACAATCAATTCATTAATGTTTATCAATACAAACCTTGTAATATCTTCTTGTAGTTGTGTCGGGTCTGGCGGATAGAACTTGACTTCAAAATTAAAAATCCACGGAAGATCTAAACAATCATTTATAAAAGTATTAACATTTGTTTTTTCCAATTAATGAATGCTTTATTTACTTTGAATTTGTTTTCCCATTCTTTTATCCAAATTAAGCCAATTCTAGAATAAAAATATTTACATTAGATTTACCTTAAAATAAATAATAAATTAGTGTTAATATACCCGCGAGTCCTCATGATCTCTATAGGAAAGGCCGAAGTAGTCCTTTTCGAGAAGATTCAAATGATCACATATTTTATCGAAAAGATCGCCGGCTT